ACTTCTCGTCTATTCCTTTTAGTACCGAACCTTACAATTGGCGCAGTCGGTAGCTAAAAGAAAGAGAGAGGAAAGGTGCTAGCCTAGGATTTATCTGATTTCTTTGTACAGGCCTTCCCTGTGTTTCTCCGCCCTTGGACTTCCCTGACGACGACCCTACCTGCCCCCGGTTTACCCTGCTCTCTGCTCCTATTCCTGACGACCCGTGCCCGTGCAGTTCCTGTCCTGTCCCGGTGCCCTGCTCGCAGAATTTTGACCTTTGGTCACCAGTGAGTCACCCTCGTCCCAGTAGTTTGCACTTGTCGGTATGCCGCGTGATCGCCGACCTGGCGCCTTCCTCTGAGTCATTCCTGACGTCGTCGAAGACGACCAGGTACCGGCCGACGACGACGCTGGCCCTGCCCCAGTGCAGGCCGCTGGCGCGCCGCCCGGCCCGGACCTGGCGGCCATGTTGCAGGAGCTCAACGCGCTCCGCGCCGCTGTCGCGGCCGGCGCCGTTGGCCCTGCTCCTGGTGCCGGTGCAGCAGCCGCTGCTGCTGCCCATGCCGGCCCTGCTTTTGATGTAGATTTAGTAAATGCTGAAACAATGCTTGCGCTGCGTAAGGCAGTTCCGAGGTATGACGGGCGCGTCAGCTACGACGTGTACCGTCGAGACTTCGACGATTTGGTGAGCGCCTACCCAGGCCTCACGGACAGGCAGCAGTTCACTCTGCTGTCGTCCGCTCTTGAAAAAGAGCCAAAGTCCCTGTTTGAGGACCTGCCCGAGCGCACGTTCGAGGCCTTGGACGACGCGCTGCGCATGGCTTACAGCAAGCCCGTGCACGCGCTGACCGAGATGCGTGCCTTCTTCGCGCTCCGTCGGAACTCTGACGAGGCGCTCGAAGAGTGGAGCACACGCGTCAGCCGAGCTGCTCGCCGCGCCTTCCCCGACACGGCCCTGGTCCGCGTCGTGGAGTAGGCGGTGCAGCAGTTCATCAGCGGCCTGACCGCTGCTGATGTAAGGAACGCGGTTGCGGGATGCAGCCACCCCACCATGGCTAAGGCCCTCAAGGCCTGTCGCTTGGCGAGGTCGCGGTGTCCTTCTCCGCCTCCTAAAAAAATGCGCACTGCTGCTGTGTGCGAGGCCACCGTCGTGGCAGGCCCGTCGTCCTCGACGGCCACCTCTACGGCCTCGGCCCCCGCAGCTGCACCCACCGCCGACTCTGATGCTGCTAGACTGGACGAGCTTTCGAAGCAAGTCCAGGCTATGGTCCGCTTGATTTAAGCTGAGTCAGCCCCGGCCGGCACGTCGCAGGCCAACAATGGCCAGGCGCGTGGCCGCGGCGGCCACGGCCACCCACGCGGCAGCGGCGGCAACAGAGGAGGAAGGGGAGGTGGTAGTGGTAGTGGTAGCAGAGATGGTGCCTGCTACACCTGCGGTGAGAAAGGCCACTTCTCGGCGAACTGCCCGCGTGGCGCTCCGCACCCCCTCCCCTACGCGCAACCCGCGGCACAGCCACAGCACATGGCTGTTCAGCCCGCTCCGTGCTCCGCGATGCCTCCTAACGACAAAGTCCGATGTATTGCGCTCCCGTTACTCAAAGTTCGATCTGTTTCGCTCCCGTTACACAAAGTCCGATGTGTTGCGCTCCCGTTACACAAAGTTCGATCTGTTCCGCTCCCGTTACACAAAGTTCGATCTGTTCCGCTCCCGTTACACAAAGTTCGATCTGCTTTCCGTCGCGCTCTGCATCGCGGTCTTATTATGTTTATTTATATTGTCGCTAATATTGCCGGTAGAAAAAAAGTAAAAGCTGCTGTCTGTTGCTAAAAGATTGAAGAACAACAT